ACAACAATAATCAAAATTATATTATTATAAAGGCTTCCCATAAAGCCAGCATTTAGTTAATCCATTCAATCGAGACAATTCGATGTTAAATGCTACTTATACTAGAGTTATCTGTGATTAATAATTTACTTGCTTTACATTTGCCATTGTATTTTAATAGTTAATAAGCATGTTTTCTTTGCACGTAATAGGTGTGGAGTGACCTAAAAAACAAATACTAACTGGTGGTGGTCCAGCTTTAAAAGTTTGCATCACCAACCTGGAGCAGTGAGTCCTCAGCCTGATGGGGCCCGAGGCTGCTACAGGCATGGTCTCAATAAATGAAATAGTTCCTGTGCCTCAGGTAATATTGCTTTTGTAATGTTTGTGTTACTCATAATAAGCTTATATGTAATTAATTTACTCAATTGTGAAATGCACACTCAATGAATATTTAAAGTCATATTACATAGATAAATACTACATAATAATATGTACATTAATACATAAATATGACATTACAAACTTTAAACTTTAACATTATATATACACCACATACATAACATTTTGCTAGAATTTTATAGTTATGGCATGATTAAGTCAAAACAATTTCAAAATCTTTTTAAACTAATTTTGTTGTTTCTTGTAATTTGGGCTATATTACAAATACTCTGACTAGATGCTCTAAAGTGCCTAAGGCTATATTTATAAGAAATTTCCTTTATTTACAGAATGAGTCAGCACTGGCTGCCAACTTTGTAGAGTTGGAAGTGCCACCACCAATACTGCAGCCTCGGTCACCCACACCTGCCCAGTTACCAACCAATCAGATGGACATTCACAACAACAAAACAACTTAACAAATAAATTATTTATTTGTATATATAAATATCATTTAGGAATTGTGTCGCTGTCTTTGTTTTTGTCTATCATATCCTCATCACATTCTTGCATGTGCAGATTGTATTTAATTAATTAATTGATGTTAATAGAGAAAGCAATGGTAATCTGTTATAGAGTACATAGTAACATTTTATTATTTAAAAAATTGACAACTGTTTATTAATTACTTACCATTTATTTTTCCTTACTAACACTAGATGTTAAGTCAAAAATAATTTATTTGTTGAGTTTTTATCATCAAAATTTTGTTTTGTTTCATTCTTTGGCAAATATGTTAGTTTCTTTGTTTTTGTGTATTGTATCCACATCACATTCTTGCATGTGCAGATTGTATTTAATTATTTGATGTTGATAGAGACAGCAATGGTAATCTATTATAGAAATAAAATTAGAATTTAACATTTTATTATTTAAAAATTTGTCAATTGTTAATTAATTAATTGCCATTTATTTTTTTCTTACTAACACTATATTTTAAGTAAAAAATAATTTATTTGTTGGGTATTTTATCATCAAAATTTTGTTTTGTTTATTCTTTGGCAAATTTGTTACAGTCTTTGTTTTTGTCTATTATTTCATCATCACATTCAATCCCAATACTCGATGCTTTATTGCATTCCATAATGTATACAAGGCTGGTAGGTAAATTACAGAGAAACAATTATGGACCGTGTCGAGCACAGCAAGTTAGTTTTTAGAGGATAGGATGAAGCGCTTTTTGTTTAAAATCATAATATTGAAATTAAGGAGTAAATCTTATATTTAGATATTGAAGTAGATATTATTTATGAGTAGATTTATATTAATTTTGTTTATTATTAACATTTTTATATTTATTTATTTATTATTAATAGATATTTTCTCAATTATAATTTAGGTAATTATTTTATATATTTATATATTTTAGCTGTAATTTATTATTAACTAAATAGTAACTAATTAAAGATATTGCATGGTAGATAAGGTAAATAGATGTATTAGGTACTACTTGGTTATTCTAATTATTCTTGCATGTGCAGATTGTATTTAATTATTTGAAGTTGATAGAGACAGCAATGGTTATATAGGAATAAAATTAGTACTCAACATTTTATTATTTAAAAATGTGTCAATTGTTAATTAATCACCTACCGTTTATTATTTATTTCTTTTTATAAGAATTTAAGCCAAAAATAATTTATTTGTTAAGTTTTTTATCTAAAAAATTTTGTTTTGTTTCATTCATTGGTTTTTCATTATCTTTAAAAATGTGTTACTGTCTTTATTATTATCCTCTATTATAGTAATAAATAACATTTATTATTTCATAATGTTGTAGTCAATTGTTAATTAATTATACTAACCATTTTATCATACTAACACTAGAGTTTAAGTTACTAAATTATAAGACCCTGGAACTTGTTTATTACAGCTTTATTTTTAGAGTGTTGCTGATTATATTTCTCTTAGAAGCGAAATAGGCTAACGAATGTAATACTTATACAATAAATATGTAGGAAATAAAACAAATGTTTTTATTTATGTGTATATTAATAAATAAAATTAACAGACAATATGCACTATACTGGCTACGCGATCACGCATTAATTGGCCCAAAGTTAAAAGGGAACCGTCTTCTTGCGGAATAGACTCCACCCTGGCGAAAGCTTCGTGACCTGTGGAAACAAAACACAAACTATGAAATTTGCTGAGGAATAATACGCTTTTAAAAATAATCGAATGAAACATATAAAATAAATTGTAACATTGTCACTTTAGTGGTATTAGTTGGACCATTTTTTCTTTAAGTAGCTTTCCTCTGTCATGGAGGCTTGAACTTAGTAAGTATGTAGCATAAATTATACTCACATGAGAAATTTTCTTTTAGAAAATTAATCTTGTGAGATTATATTTATTATTATATTTTGTAGTAATTAAAACAGCTTTCCCTATACAAATAGACTTTAAATGATCATACACAAAATGAAATTATAAACATTGATTTCATTTAAATTCTACTTATTGATTTACAAGAAAATAAAGGGATAATAAGTTGATAAGGCACCTGTGGGTTCCATAACCGCTTCAGGTACATTAAAAGTTATGCAGCACACAGAAAGCCACTATCATTATACACATTACTTTAAACTATAAGGCTTTTTAAATTTTATTTAAAAGTCTATTAGGAACTCCAACAAAGTATAATGTCTTTTCTATAAACAATATTAAGCAAAGTTACTTGAAGATTTGTGCTCCTAAAGGTAGAGAAGACACATTATGCATACATTATAATTATGAACCTTTTGATTGTGTAGATTGTTTTATTCAAACCATATTTATTAAATTCTATAATGTATATTACCATTTGCACATTTAATTGAATGATAATACTTGCGGCAGTAAAATAAGTAGTCAATCTCCATCTTCGGCTTAACAATTTTGAAGTGTGGCATTTCATACATGTTATAGAAACTATAAAGAGAAACATTCATTATTAATTAACAAGTTATCCCCTAGCAAGTGTTCAAAGCATGAATATGATGTTAGTTTAAACTGCGAATTACCTTGTTTGACTTGTTCTTTAGCTTCACGCGTTGCTGGGAACTTCACAAAGTTTTTTAATATGTTCGGGTGGTTGAGCGCTTCAGTCACTAGGTGGACAAAGCGGCTAATAGCTTCTTGCGAATAACAATTAGCCATGCCAACCAACCTTTGGTAATCAATCACCGTTGGCATAAAATAATAATGCGCAGAGTACCTAAAACCAATTAAAAATGTCTTTAATAAATCATTGTTGCCATTGCCATTAACAACCTTTTTATTTATGTAGATGATATAATTGACTTACCTTAGTTTCTAATGAGACTCTTTGATAACTTCTTAAATCATAGAAACTTTTAAGCCTCTTTAATCAGCCGGTATCGCTGAATAAAGTGGGTGTCCGAGATTGCGAGAGGACTTAATAATTTTCGCCGCAAATGAAGGTTTCGACGCTCTTCTTCGTGGCGATCATTTTCAGCAGCTTCTGCTACCACCCTCCAGGCAAAATAACTCCTCGCAGCCATTTAATATTAAAATTAAAAATCGCACGAAAACAATTCGCTACGTTCCACTAGGTGAGTTGTAAAACGTAAACTTTGAGAGAGAACGAATCGCTTTACTTTCATAAAATTGTCAAAATTGTAACTCGTACTGCCAATTTGGCGAGAACTGTCAAAATGTCTCGAAAACTTTTTAAGATTACGAGAAATTTTACGCTGGTGCAACTCGTACTGCCAAATTTAGTTTCTTTTCGTTTCCGCTAGGGGCGCTGCTAATTTATGAATGAAAATCAACGTTTCGAAAGGACGTAACGTTTGCTGTCAAAACTCATACTAAGGGTACTGGTAGTTGAAAGGAGATAAAAGATAAGGATAGATTAAAAAACAAGCACTTCTAATACAGATAAAAATAACATTTTACATATAAACTTTACCGGTTACTTATAAAAACCCTTTTTATCAAATAAAAAATATTTAAAACTTACAAACGGCTTTAAATTATTGTTGATTTTAATAGTACTACCCATAAGTTGTTGTAAATCCCACCAGTTGCCAGTACCACCATTGCGAATACATCGTTTTAATCAATCCAAATGAAAAAAGGTAATGTCACTCCAGTGAAATTCGATTTATTTAATTTTATGTTATTTCGTATAATCTGCCCTCACACCTTAAATATACAAGTTCATTAACTTTCGACGGCTTCGAAATTGACCAAAAATGGAAAAGAAAATTAAAGCAAGAAAGCGACATGAAAAAAGTAGGTAGGGTTTTGGTGTTGGTTTAGCCACCAAAGGTCTATTATGTTGGAGATTATGGGGTTATCCAAGCATAAGAATAATGCAGGATAGTTTAATTGTTTCCATTTGCATTATACAATCGATATTCAACTCGAGACTCAAATCTTCTTTATTCGAATTCAAACACTTGGCAACACCCATACACGAAAGTTGTGTATTTTTAGAATATAGCAACACAGATTCATACTTTTGTGACTGGTGATGTGACTGATGTGTGGCCTGTGAACGGAGAATATTTTTCCGTATCGGCGTTATTTCGTACTAATTTTAGATTGTTCTGTAAGACAATACATACATTATGATTACTTTACTTCCCTGACCTCAAGCGTTGATAAAAGTTTGTATACTTAGTGAGTTATTTTGGTAATCGGTGACATTTTAGTGAAGTGCCTAATTTGATCATGGAGGCTATAGCAAAACACGATTTCACTGCAACTGCTGATGATGAGCTCAGCTTTAGGAAGAATCAAGTCCTCAAGGTATGGTTACCTTCACGGAAATGATGTGCTTTGGGTTTTACTTAAAATTGTGACAGGTTCTTTCTAGAATTTTTGATATTACAGATACTAAACATGGAGGACGATATGAACTGGTACAGGGCTGAATTAGATGGCAAAGAAGGACTAATTCCTAGTAATTACATTCAAATGAAAAGTCACAGGTAAACAGTTACATTGAGTGAATAATTTTAGTATTTTTAATAATAGTCTTACATAAATCGTACCTCTTAATTTCGTTTGTAAAAACACAACTAGATAGGTATTTATGTTTAGAATAACAAGCACCCGTTGTATCACATAAATCTTTATTATTTTAGAACATGTTTCATTGTAACTCAGGATACAGTAGGTACACACATTTCTGCGTCGAGATTTCGTTGTTAAAAGTTCAAGTACGAAACTTATTGGATGTAGTAGTAAAAAAGTTTGTATATAATAGGTTATGTTTGCTACTTGATGCATTCTGATTAGAATATAACAATAATTACATTACACTAACATATTTTTAAACTGCAGCTCATAAGATGTTACAATAACTTCTATGAACTATGATTCAAAGTTGTTACATACCTATTCAAAATTATTAGACACACTCTGGGCCACTACTATCATCACACCTTTGTTTTAAGAATTACAGATAATAAATACAATATCATAACCTAAATATTATTTTTAGTTGGTATTACGGAAGAATCACAAGAGCGGATGCAGAGAAACTTCTAGCAAATAAACCAGAGGGTGGTTTCTTGATAAGAATCAGTGAATCAAGCCCTGGTGACTTCTCCTTATCTGTCAAGTAAGTTTTCAACATAATTATGAATCCATAAGTTTATCTAACTTTGGTTATAGTTCCTGGAATTCTTTCCAATTGGATTATATATGAGAAATAGTGAGTCATTTAGTATGACAGTATAAATAATAACTAGTATGATTTGTGATACATTAGACCATAATAAATTGTATGAAACTGAGCCTAAGTCTGTATGGTTCTAAATTTAAAAGGTTTTTACCATTACTAACAATTATTTAAAATAATATTGCTCACATTTTATTAATAAGCTTAAAATTAAACTTCCGTTTGATTTATCATTGCTTTGTTGTGATTTGTTGGACAATTAGATAAGGAGGGCAAAAATTTGTTTTAAACTACATCTGTGAAGTCTGCTTGTATCTTATCTCTAAGATCACACTTTATTCACACTTTTTTTATTATTAAAATCCCAAAAGGTCCTAATCGAAGCATTTTAAAAACTTTATTTAGACTCAACTTAAAATAAACAGCATTTATGTAATTTTATAAAATAAGAGCAGTTAATAATGCTACAATTATATATACATGATGGTTTTCCCCATTCACCAAGAAGCTGTGTTGCATAAACAAACAATGGTGGATTCTGTGTAATATACCATATATTTAGAATGGAATTTCTTAATTGTAGCGAGCTGTATAGTAGTATTTTATTTTATTATTTAAGGTAAAAGTTACTTTATTGAAGTGATTTTAAGAACTTATTCAGTTAGTGACTAACTCCCTAAATATTATATCTTCATCATTGTTTTCCAAACTATCATTATCAGGTAAATTGTTGTGGAAAAATCAAGCTAAAATAAGCTCTATTACAACAGGAGTTTCTTAATTAATTAACTCACCCTCAAAGCTTAGCTATGCTTTAATTGGGCATTCATAAAACATATTAAAGTGGTAACATTATTATTAACACTTACCATTGATAGTAATGAAATACCAGATGTTATTTTTTGCATATTTACAGAAAAAACAGGTCCTTTATAATGTATTGTCCTTTGAAATTTCCAATTACTTATGCTGTCCCTTAACAAAAAAGTTTTTGTATCATTGCGTAACAAATACTAAACATCAGTTTCGTAATAATAGAAGTAAAACAAAAATATAAAAATCACATATAATAAATCTAAATTAGAAGTTGCTACACTTAAGAGTGTATGTATTTCTATTTGGGATTTAAATATTAAATTAGTTTTTGTGTTTATGATAACTATGGAGTTGTGTGTTCTTATTTACCCTAGATAATCAGGTCAGCTCGTAAGAAGTAGGGCTACAATAGGCATGTAGTCATTATTTCTTATCAGAAGGACTTTCTTATTTACTCTTTAGATTATAAGCTTTGTTTGTTATTTATAAAGTACTTGCATACAAAACTAACACAGTCTACTATAAAGGGTTACATGATAAACAACTTTATGATCCACAAGAACCTACTTCGTATTACAAAAAATCTAATAACACACATGGGAATCCTTTGAAAATTAGTTAAAATTGTTTGACGCTATGCCTCAGTGCTAAATATATAAAAAAAAACGCTTTTCACCATCCTAAGTGTAGGTAGTTGTAGGTTGGAGCTGGAGAAGGAACTGGGCTGGTTTTTTGTCTCGCTCCATCCACGGCGTGCGAAGTCATATGATGATTCTTCGTCCCAAAAAAAGACAGAAACACACGGAATGATACCACGGCCTCATAGAAAATCGGCGTGAAACAACCGCTGCGTTGTGTTTCGCTGTTTGAGTGAGGTTGATGATGCCCAATCCCTAAATCTCCGAAACGTAATCCACAAAAGGCCGACAACGCCCATACTTGCTTGCTTGCTTACCATCAGGTATAGAGCTCGCTCGTTTTCGTTCTATAACAGAAAAAAATGCTTTTGCATTTGAATGATTGTAAAGATAATCTACCTTACAATTTATGAGCTAGAATTCTCTATAAAATACAGGAAGGCAAAAGTCCAAATAGGCCCAAATGGGGACGAGGTCATGTCCAAGGTCAATTCCTGTGAGCAATAAGTACTTTGGAATGAGGTCTTATCAACACTCTTATATAAAGTTGCATTTCCTTATAATATTAGTCAGTTCGACGTGCGGTTAGTTATTTTTAATAACGAAACAAGGATTTTCGATATGATTAATCTGTAGACGTAGATAGACACTACAAGTAAATAATGAATGACATACGTACTTCTGCTCGGCCAACCCCTTCAAAAGTTTCAAGCAGTGACGTTATGTTAGGTACCTTATATTTTCATATATTATAAGACCATAATGTTACAATTACTTAATCTAATAGAATAGTTGTAATAGAAAATACTTAATCTAAATGTATGTTACACCAAGTATCCATATTTTTTGTGAGGAGAAAATCATGAAATGACTTCTCCCGCCCAGGCCAGGCGGGAGAGAGAGTCAGACGCTTATACTAACTAAAAACCCCCTTTTCCTTCTCCTGCTCTGGGCCGAGGTCGCGGTGCCTAAACCAAGTAGCCATGAAAAACGTATGTGCGAACAACTGTGCATATTGTTTGAAGTAACACTAAATAGGTCACTTATTAGAATTCCTAATTGACGGCAGTTCGCGTTCGTGTTTCGCCCATTTCCTTATTAGCTTATTGTCATATAATCAATAGGTCAATAGCAAAGTGGTTCATGTGAGGTGACGCACAACAAACAATTTCATTACAGTTTAAATTGGTAGTTAATAAAAAAATAAGGTTCGCGCCTTCTGTCGGGAGCGCGTATGACTCACCGAGCATCTAGAGACGTTTTATTTTGTCTTGAATCTGTCTTGGCGTGCTGTATTAGTCATATACATCTCTATGGGCCTACATTTACGTCGGCAGGTAATTTTATTATTGATTTTACTGATTTACGTGTTAAAATATTTACCAATCATTCTTAGAATATGAGTGTACACATAGCACTGAGTATCTTATCAAAAAAAGATATATTTTGAAGCATAAAATGATTGTTTGTTGAACTAACATGTTTCCATATTTTTCACACACCAATGTCCTTAACGATATCCTTGACCTCCGCTATCGATCATTTACCCCAACTTTAAACGTTAACGATAACTTAGCTAGGAGAAAACACTTCAGAAGTGTATTCCAAAATAAATGTAACGGGAAATTCCTGGTACAATAATTATTATAACAAATTAAGATAAATTAGAAAAGGCAGGTCATAATGTTCTTAAAGTTTTCTCTATTTAAAAACCTGTTTCCTGTCAAATAGTATATGAATCAGCGGTACAGAGATTGCGCTGAAACCAGTTTTGGGCTATAGATTTTAAGCACGGGCCTCATTTGACTTGATACATACCGTTTTAAATAATTTTCGAAATATATTTTGAAGCTTTTCGTTACTAAAAACGTTTTATTCTGGTTGGAAATACACGATGCAACTTGGAGACAAATACTACACAAAAGATCCCCCCTTTTGTGTAGATAGTATTTGTACTACAAATGAATCTTAATTTTACGTTGTTTACTATTGTTTTTGACACACTAATAATAAAGCTATGGACGTAGATACTACAAGGAAAAAACAGTTGTTATCTGCCCACATAAAAAATCTCTTCAACTTTTACTCATACAAAAAGCGACCGAACAGCTTGTCAAATTCCATACTTTATGTATTCCTATGATGCATGGGTCAGTCTCCCTTTGACGTTTCCGTATTTTTAATGAGTTGCATAGTCAAATTGTCATTCATAAATCGGTATTACGTTTCCCTATCGATGGAACAAACAATAGTTTGTCTTTCTGAAATTATGTAGTGATTCCATCAGCTATTGCGATCATGCATATTACGTTCAACCCTTATCCCGGATAATATTGAACGCTAACTACCAAGAATTTCTCCGGATTCCTAGAAATTTTGCAGCTGCTCTGTTTGTTCTAATGATAACGTTTGGTATTTACGCAAATAGGTGGAGGAAAAGAGAAATACTTGAATGGTCTGCGATCCCGCAACCGGTTTCAGTTCGAACCATATTTTATTTTATGTTATACCACATACAAATTCTCGGGTTAACGGCTGACATTCGATATGTCGACCTTACCGTTCCCATTTACGATTTCGGTTACATCTACGAGAATTACGTCATCAAGTTCAATTAGTTCCACAAATATTTGTTCGGTGTTTATTAGAGGATCGACGCGTTCACTATTTGCTCTATATATACTTACGTATAAATATTTATGACACGCCTATGAAATCATTCTAGTTATAGTATAAAAATGTATTAATTTATCGGAGCTACTATCAAAAATATGCAAGGGTCAACCGAGTGTTTGACAAAATTGCATATCTTTATTGCAGAGGTCAATTTATCGGATGCAGTGTCGAACGTAAATTTTCGTTAATAATTTAGTAGATATTCCAGGAATAATAATATTATTTTGTATCTTACAAATAAATATGAATATTAGGTACGTACGTAGCTTTTTCAAGGGTAGTTAAAGGAAAAAATCTGTCATATTAAATATAAAATAAAATAAATAACCAAATAATGTCATGAGAGGTGAGTAATGACAAGTAATTTAATACAAGAGCTTCCACGCATCATCCTTTAAATAATTTACTGCCTCAATATGGTTTGATTCGACAACCCACACTCTACCAACTCAGTGGCATTTGACTTATAAGCATATCCACTATTTTTGTTGCTTAATGTTCTGACGTATACCAAACTAAACTATCATATCCAGAGCTAGTTACGTAATAAAAATATCTTAGTTTTTACAACATCCTGATAACAAAATTGTTGACATAAATTCCTTAAAAGCTAAGGGGGTCTACCGATGCGTTTGAGATAATTATAATATGACGATAAGTAATGTTATTGTATTAAGTATTTTCTCTCACAATAGAAACTACAGAATTTGTACTGAGTGACATATTTTTTTATTTTTTTGTGGGGGCAAAATCATCAAATGTCTGCTCTCGTCCAGGGTATAGTATAACTTAAAACCTCCCTGTTCCTTGTCCTGCTTCAGGCCGAACTTCGTGGTACCTTTTTGTGCTCACCCTTAACCCCGTGAGACATAATTTAGAAGATAAAAAGTAATAGGAATGCGCAGGGATCCGTTTAAGGGAGTAAAAATTACAAGGTTGTCTTATACGCTCCAAAAGTTCGTAACAACATGTCCCAAAACTGCATTATCAATGGATCTCCCCATCTTTCTTCAGATGTCCGGATGGCGTGCAACATTTCAAAGTTCTACGGGACGCGTCCAGCAAATTCTTCCTGTGGGTGGTGAAATTCAATTCACTCAATGAACTCGTGGACTACCACCGTAATGCGTCAGTCAGCCGCCTGCAAGACGTCAAGCTCAGAGATGTTGTTCCTGAAGAGGTGAGTTCTATTATAGCTACAATGGGGTATTTACATATCCAAAGTTTTCTGTCTTTTGAAGGGTTCGTGTTGTTTTATAACCGGAATTCAATACAACTGATCTCGATCTAATAATTATATCTAATAAGTTTTATACAGAAACTCGATGCAAACAATTGCGGAAAATCGCCAATCCAAAAAGTTTTGATTTTGACCAGTTATTTGTTGCCACTGTATAAATCTTCAGTAGAGTGTAACGTCGATTTTTGCGTTTTTTCTCATGCGATTTCCAAGGCTGTCCGATCAGATTCATACAGAATTCAAAGGTCACTTTTACTGGGAGTTAAACTAGAATTGAATGGATAGATGGTTACCATTTTACTACCTCACATATTTCCTATACATGCCGTGTTTCGAGTATAATAAGTAGTGGTTTTCCTCTTAGGCATATTTCAAACCGCGTTATACTAATATAATTCATCACACACGTAATCGCAGGTACACATTTCAAATTCAGTTCCTTGATCTCTAAAACCCACAATTTTGTAGTCTACTTGCTCAAAAATAAAATGTTTGATTGACAGTAAAACGTCAATGTTTTATTCTTATCTTTAAACTCGAACATATCTAGAGTAATTCTGGTATTTACGAATGCGGTAAAAAGAGAGGTTTTATGTAACCTAACACAGCTGGCTTAAATCTCGGCGCTCTTGTATATTTTACACTGGAATCTCGCCGTTCAATCCCTAGGCTGTTGCACAAGACTAGGTACTTTTGTAACATCTCGGGAAAAGATATTATCGGATATTAGTACTCATTCTTTATACTAGACGCGGCAGTAAAGAGACTAGAGTCTTAAGGTTTTATGCACCAAACATCGCCAAATACGTCTAAAGTTTAATCAAAATCTGTGACCTAAGATTAATGTTTGCATTGCAATAAACATTTGAACGGTTAATTTAAAACGAATAGAAAAGTAGCGGTTTCGATATTTTAAGTTCGTGAGGCGTATATTAATGATACATTAGCTACAGATGATATATCACGCGAAGACCTCACTAAAATATAAAACTAAAAATAAATACAGAAAGCTCTGATCACGATGTCTTTTTACAAGTAAAAAAATTGACGTGCCCGAAATGTGCGTTTTAATGTTGTCAACTGCACGGTTGGCGCAGTGGCTGGGCAACTGACTGATTAGATTCCCTCACGGAACAACACTGTGTGATACACAAATTGTTGTATCGGATCTGGGTGGTTTGTTTATGTGAATTTTTATCTTTGTAAACGCACCCATGATACAGGAGAAAATCTTAGTGTCGGGCAGTTCTTCATAAAAAAAAATGTTCTACAAATTATATTATATTGTGATGATTGTATACGAATATAGATCATAAGGGCACCAGACTAATGAATCATCGTAAACGTTTTCCTTGAAAAAGATTCGACGCAAAAATGTACGCATTTGCAAGCAAAACAATAAAATAATCATCAAGCTTTAATGTTACAACATTCTGGAATACATTGCCCTTTAGTAAAAGTTTCGGATTATTTTGATATAGAAATAATACGATTTTTATCTAATTATACGGGGCTATAGGTTAGGCAAATACTTCCCACATGACTGGAAGAAAGGTAAAGGAAATTCCCTTTGTTGTTTCGACTCCATTACGCGTTATATTCGTGTTCAATACATTTGTCTGAGCGGCGCTCTGCCTATGTAAATTATTCCGGTGTGACCCTGATAAATAACGAAAATAACCCGGTCATTGCGTGTTCCTATAATCTCGGTTTCTTGTGGTAGGTAGCCTCTGCCTCCAATTGATAGGAGTCGCATGAATTGTTCAACGCTTCGTTTTACGACCGGGATTGTTTATCTGACCGTGTCCTAAATCAATTACCGCTTTACCAACGTCATACCAATTATGCAATGTTTCATAAATGTACAAAATATAAGTATTTTCGCAGCATTACTTGGATATAAAACTTGTTAACTTGTCACTTGCACCTTCTCCAAGCTTATTTGCGTATTTCGTTACGTGAAACCTGAGAAATATTCTATGAAATGTTGGAAAATGGCTCCGTAACACAGATGTCTGTCAGACAGAATGGCGTCTATTTCTTACAGTTGCGTTTTAAATAGGCTTACACATCTAAGGCGATCGGTTTGACGTCATAACTATGTAATAGTTTGAAATCCAATTCATTCTACCACAAAGTACGTAAGGTGAAGGAATTTATAAAATATATATTCCTGTTTCCGTTTATTCGGGTGTTTGTGTAGTCTCGCGTCTGCGTGTAAAATATTCTTGTACGCAAAAACAGGCGCATTATACACGCTCGTGTTTTTCTAGCGTCATCGATACATGCTTCGATATTTATGCAATGCAGATTTAGTTTTTTTCGTGAAAACTCTACGGACATACGTCAGATCGCTATGGTTGTCGATCTAGTATTTAATATGAAATAAACTAGGCGTTAAATTGTAAACTGTAATAGCTTTCTGAGTATTTATTGTTTGGAGGACTATCATCTTGAATTTGCCCTTACAACCCTTTGACGTATGAATGACGTATATATCATTTTAATAGCCACAGCGACTGATATTACTGCTAAACCACATAAAAGTGCTGAATCCGTCCAAACGTTTACATAAGCATAATAAAACAACGAACGAAAACGAAAAATGTCTCTAGTTCGTCAACCAATGTACTTCTCGAGTGTCATACGTTTTTTGTCAAGCGTTTAATCATGTTTGCGGTTCTCTTTCGACCCTTAAACATGACACTAATGACATGACCAGCAAGATATTCTATTACGCTGCTCCATAAACTGGAAAAATACCCGTGACTTGCGCAACTTGCGTTATAATCTGTTTTCCCAATCTTTCTCTAGCGAAAGACGTTGCGATCGTCAAGCTCAAACACTCCTAAGCTTGCATATGATTGAGTTTTTTCCCGTTTGGCAATAGATTTGCGTCTTAAGTTCGTAAAAAGATTAAAACATAACTAGTACAGTCTAAGCATAGGTACATATAACCATACCATCCACAATTTTGTGTTTATCCTCCCGTCAAACCAAAACTAGTTATTACGCATCGTATATATTCAATTGAAAAACCCGCTCATTTTACTTACACATTCGAATAAATGATAATGTACGTCACAATAAGTCCTGAAGTTTTCCCACGATGAGTTAACGGGCCATCGCGTATCATTGGATGATTACTGAATACATTATTGTGAGTCATTGTAGGTTTTTGTTGTGTATTTGGTGGCATATTCATACTGTAATGGGAAAGTGAAAATAGTGACGTATTTCCGCACTCATAAGAACTTATTTGGACATGCAGTAATCGTATCGTAATTATTTTTAGCGCCTTTTATGTAGCTGTTATAATATTATCAAAGTCCTCTCTGTATGACATACAAGGTCAATAAACTAGTATACTTTTTTTGATGAGTGTAAATAATTAAATTACTTTGCTCGCTCTGGGTGCGGCGACTCTTATAGGCTAAAAATCATCCGTTCTCCTGCTCCAGGCCTTGGTACATTATAGCGCTTGATCCACAACCCCGGTTAAAACCTATCGCATACTTGAAATTCACTCTATATTAGTCTCCATAGGCAAAATCTAAACGATACTTCAGAATTTTCCATCAATATTCATTAATTTTTCTTTCACTTATTTTTAAGTGTTAAGTTCAAGGAAAAACTAGCAATAAGCTACTGCTATTATGGTTACTATAGCTGTTAAAACCAAACTCCTAATTCATAACAACACTTAGTTAATTGAGTCTTTATAATAATTTTACTAATTGCTACCAATATGTGCTCGTGCCATTTAGCTAATGGGATATATTTAGTTTCGAACATTTGGACAAATATTTGCAAATTTTCGCCATTTTTCATTGTAACCGTATCATTAATCTGTTGAATAACATTTAATGCAATGTTCTCTAAGATAATTTCACTTTTCTAGAAGAAAATGTTTCTATTTAGGAAAAACTCTCTTGTCACTTGTTAGACGTTTTAAGCAGAAGGACCTTTGAAGTTTTTGTACGAGGGACGAATAGTTGGAAACTTTTGAATCTTGTTTTGCTTTTTGCTGAGGACTTTTCAAGGAGACTTATTACACATTTGGATTACGTAGTTAAACTGAATTTCGGTATTTTATAAACAATTTATTTGTATTAGGAATCTAAATTATAGTGATTTGTAAGAGAAAAGTCCGTACGAACTAAAATACATTTTATTTCGGCGGCTATTTTAATTTTTTTTTTATACAAACTTTAACGATAACGAAAACTGAAAAATAGACAATGATTTAATTCGGTGTAGTGTAGAAATTTGAAACTTTATGCGGCGTAGATACGTTTTGATCGTCCATTTTGTATTTATTTGTATGAAAAGAAATGGTGTGGTTTGCCTTTCAGTCTTAAGATAGATACATCCATCCAATCTTCACTTGCGTTATAAGGGAGCTCGGCTCAGTGAGCGGTAATAAAAGTATTGATTATTAACTTTACGACTTTTCCCGTTCCATTCGATACTCGCGCCTAGCTATCACGTGGATGACAGGGTGTGAGTGTCGATCCACATCCCGTACCTACTTCAATATTGGACTTATTAAGCTGAGAGGCGAGCTAATATCGCGGTAAAGCTTGGGCAGTTTTATGCGTTCTTGTAGAAAACTTACATGTTATGGTAATATAATTATTATCAACAAGTGGGTTGTTCTAAAATTTTACCGGTTTGTCCCGCGAAGTCATTCTGTAAACAGTACAACAATTTGAAGGCATAAGAAATTGTTTATTGAATCTATTTATATTCATTTTATGTACTTGTTAACATAATCGCAATATCGCAGAAAATCTTACCCGGAACAACGAATTTTTTGTAAACAAGTTTGTAAACAACTTTTTAATTAGGTACCAGGTAATCCTTCTAATACTGATCTTCTAATCTTCTTATACTGATTTAGACTAAGAAGGGAATATTTTTAATAATAAAAAAACATGGCGTTCGCTTTTGTACGAAGGGTAGGGTACCTACTCACCTTTTGTTTTTACAGACAGAAAATTGTAAAATCAATAGAATTTTATGATGATATATTTCCACTGCTGCAATTTCCTCAGCCGACTGGTTCTGTGTACATTACTGGATCGGGTAAAACACCAGCGAGTGCTTGCGGTTTTTTAAATTTCTCAATAGGAGCACGGGGTCACAAAGCTTGCCCCCTTTACCTAGTTGTTACTCTACCACCCAAACCGCTTCGCTATGAACATACAAAGTCACGTGACACGGTCCGGCAAAAATATAGGTCAGAACAATTTTATAAGACGATTCTTCTAAATATCTCTCGTGGGATTTCGTAGAATGAAAGTTAGACTTTGTCTAAAAGCACGTCGTTATAAAACAACTGCGAAATGGCTAGTTGATTGATTGTTATGTACACAGTTTAATGACCGTGATATGTGTTCTATTTCAGATGTTGGTGCAAGCGCTGTACGACTTCACTCCGCAGGAGGCCGGCGAGCTGGAGTTCAGGCGTGGTGACGTCATCACGGTCACTGACCGCTCCGATCAGCATTGGTGGCAGGTATGTGATAGCACCTTCTAATTTCATCTATAGTAAAACTTCGGCCAGAATGGGTACTTGAGTTCAAGTGCATAAATTGAGATGTGGAACTCAATTTTTGCTAGTGTTACCTTATGATTCGTACAAGCCAAACCAAGCCAAGCGACAAGCTACTATTCATACTACCATTGAAACTTCGAAAAAAATCCAATAAGAGATTAGTCTATTGGATTTTTATATTGGTATCAAATCCGAGACTACAACTGCAATAGCTCTAAGCACCACTAAGTGGTCTAGAAATACAACCTAAACTAATCTTAAATCTTTCTGCGCTCGTCATATTTTGAATTTGTAGACTCCCAGACTCTTATGAGATTTATGAAATGTGACATGTTGATTACTTTTAATCGAAGTTTTGTCCTTCTGATAGATAAATAGTCGTTCTTGGTACAATTGAAGGCCAGTTATGATACTGTTATCAGTCACCGTGAGTCACTGGCTTTTTCGAAACTTATCTAGCCATTGCTGAAGATGACACATTGCTATTTCTAATAAGAAATTGTTATCTTAGAAGCGAGATTATTTCCAATAGGAATTGTTATGTTTTAAATCCTCTAAAGAGGCTCATAACAAGCTTATTGTAATATTTATCCTCTTTTTATCAGTTGTGTTATAAGTTCTATGTAGTAAGGGTACCCATGAAACCCATGTATCCCATTTGTTTTATTCTAACTGGAATGATATTGGAATTACCTGTCATTTTATAAATTAATTTGAATTGAATTAGTAGGTATAATGGTATGATTTGTATGACGAATGTACAGTAGGAAGTGTAGATAAGAGGAGTATGTACGTAAATGTGTGTTGCAGGGCGAGATAGCGCACCGGCGCGGGCTGTTCCCGGCGTCGTACGTGACGGCGTACCACCAGTCATAGTGCGCGCGCGCCGCTCGCCCTTGCCTCTCTACGCCGCTCGCCCGCGCGCCCCGCCCGACAATGATCACACTCGCCTACCTACTATCATATCAATAACTCGGTCACACAACGAACATTCACCTAGTAAAGCTACTACATGAAAACGTTATAGTTTTCTCGGTTTTACTACAAATTACGTATCTTCGTATCTTATGCGATTTTAAATTATCACTAGCTAGAGTTATTGAGTAAGGCACCAAGTGTCATCAATGTCTCGCTCGGATCATGTTTGATTTTTATATAATGTTTTGACGAGTATATGGTGCTTCGTGTTCACAGCCGATTACGATGATTTTAATATTATAATAATTTATAACAATAATCGACGGTCGTAATCGTTATGTCCATTTTACTCGCGAGTTGAAACTGCCTTGATTTTTGCAATACTGTAAGATGTAATTTGGTAGTACAAAAGTTTTTGTGTCGTGTTTCATTGTATTCATTGTTCTGTGACGAATTTATTATTGTCCTCTCATTTTATATTGTGACGATCGCTGGATGAGAGTGAATATTTTATCCTCGAAAACGTGCCAGAATGTTATTTGTAGTTTTTTTGAAATATATGTTTAGTAATAAAAGGTGAAAGGGATCAAATCAGTGCATACTGACTGCTCCCCACAAGTATATAGATTTTCTTATTTGATGTGATTTTTAAAGTATGACCATTATTTATCCCTGTATTAGTCTTTAATGCTCATTATTAAAATATTTACCATTTATACGTTAGTTAAGTGATAATTTTAAGTTCGATTTACATGTATTTTGATCTTGGTTTTTTATTATTGGTATACAACAGTGTATAATCTGGTACAGTAATGGTGTAGAATGTAAATCTGTAGCGTCCTCCAAAAGCTTAGCTCTCGTTAGGTTAGTCAGCTGGACAGCGGATTTTGTTACGCACAAGTAAAGCCACGGACATAACTCTGGAATTATTTTATATATTGACGATGTTTTGTATGGACGGATGTATAATGAACGAGGTATTTTATATAACGATATATGTATGTAAGACCACGCTTTTCGATAGCTTTTGATGTATTAGTTTGATTCGTTACCCGTACGTATTTACCAGTAACGACCGTAATAGAGGCAGATGTCTAAAATGTTTGACATAAAGTAACTGAACGTGTAGTAAGGCGGCGTGGTTGACAGCGACTACAGCACTGTTCGGAGTTTCGGAATAATGTAACATCGCGCATCGTGGCACTCGCAGTGTCATTGTACTTAGTTAGCGTTTAACATTTAGTCAAGACTTGAAATTAATAAAACTTTGAGTGATCGTTGATCCAATGTAGATATTTATTTTTGTTATTGTATTGTACCCGAAATTACTATATTTATGGAAACATGAACTCGTTAGCCAGATGAGAGTAGCGTAAGCGTAAGAACATTTCACCGTGCATGTGTAACTGTATCGTTTAAACAATTTCCCTTTCATCGAAGCATTTAAACTGTGTGTAATTATAGCGTAAGTGTGGTACGGCTCCGTATGTATCGTGGTCAACTGTTGAACGATTGTGTGCCGGACTCGGCCCGATAATAATGCCCCTAAATTGTGCTTGTAGCTATAGTGACAAGTAAGTGCATAAAGGCAAGTTTCAATAAATCGGAAGTGCTATAATCTATAATAATCAAATATTTAAATAATTTAAGTTATGATTCTCCAATATTGTGGAAGATGTATAATATTTTTTACTAATAAATTTAATATTATATTTTCTAGTTTTATTTTTGGTGCCTTTAGTAATAGAGGTGGGTCAACAATAATAATAATTTATTTTATAAATTATAACATCACAATTTATAACAATTACCTATCATTTAACATTACTATAAAGCTACATCTAAAACACTAACAGTTAGTTGCGGGTACACTGCAGTACATACATAGCAGAGATCAGTATTATTTCCTCACAATAACCCTGTATTTTACATTATTCATAAATTAAGCATAAAAACTACAATATCCTGTGGAAATAAAATAGCTATGACACTAGAACTATGGATAATATAGTCAGTATATACAAAAGGTGTATGGTTATAAGGTAATCTAAAATGTTTGTACTCCAGTGTACCCATATTATTGCAATAACGATAACATTATAGCTTCACATCAATCACAGTACTCATTTGTTTGAAGCGTTGTTTGATCTTTGACATATCCCATTGTTTGGGATGTTTCCTTATAGTCAAAAAATTATTGTATTGATTTTCAAAATAATTTCTATTACATATTTGTAAAATACATACAATAAGGATTTGTGTAAGCTTAAAAATAAAGATTTAATTAAAGTTTGGAAATATCCCAATCAAAGACCGCACTGCCAGCAAGTAATTAATGTGTATAAATTAATCAATTTTCATCGTATTTGTATTATAATGAATATTGTATCATAATGAAACACATTTGTAAATAGTTCGATGAGGATTATAAGTAAAATTCACTGGCTGGCAGAGTGGCATATACGCTTTAAAAACGCACAATGGCGTGTATATTAACATACTAAACTTAAGCGTCACTCAGCGTCAGATTAACAGTTTGTAAATGTAACCCATAGATATATTTATTCTTAATTAACAACTGATCTCAATCCAAAATTTCCGGCAAACCAGTTCTCATGAATTTATAACACAAAACTCAGATTGATCCAGAGATTTTAAATTAAGATCGGATATTTATTTCTTTCTTTAGTTGCATTCACTTACTTATTTAGTTGTCTTTTGTTTATGATTCGAAAACTGTGAAATGACAGTAAAAATTGACAACATTTATCAAACATTCATTAAAATTATAGTAATAAATTAAAACGTGATTTTGTATTCGATACTTTTTGTACCATAAATTACATTTTTTTCTGTTTTGCACACATTTACACTTACATCGACATAGCACCTTTGGCAACAATAAATATAACAATGTGTGTGTTATATGCATCTGTGTTTTACAGTCTGCTTGTGCAAGTTTCGATGATATTATTCTTTGAAATTGATAATCATGATTGTGCTATAATTTTTTTCTAAAAATAAATCAAAATAAATAAACATGTAAATTGTAGTAACAAAACATAATTGCTATTAGCAACATAGGCATGTTCTAGCTACATCATATAAACTTATAAAAACGTTTCTGACTATCATCATAACATTAGGTAAACTTATTTTTTAACGAAATTCATAGTTGTATATTTATTACTTATATACAGCTGGGAAGTCAGATAAAGGCTTCAGCCATATTTTTGCACAAATATTGCATTACCGGCTTTATTAATGACTAAAATATAATGTACACAAGTTTTATATTCTTGTAAAAGTGTAACTAGTGTTTTATCTCTGTTTTGTTGTGGTATTGATAAGGACGTTTTTATACAAATTAGAAACTTCGAAATGCCTTTTTTAGCTCTGTATAAAGTTGTTCAGACGCATGACAGTTTTAGCTGTAGATTTGTTGAAAAAGGTGTCGAACTTCTATATCATTATTTATTTAGAGAAACACGACTTACACATCCTCAGCCCATAAGTGGCCAAAGCTGAGCCCTCTTCTTGGAGGAGGATTCACCACTAATGATCACGCTTACTCAATGTGTTTCCAGGTTTCTCCATGATGTCTTCCTTCACCGTAAGTCAATGAGGTGAGGGAAAGTAAATATAACTCGGAAATGTTTACATTGGTACTTGTCAGGTTTTTAACCCGCACTATCACCATGCATGAGAAGCCAGACTTTCGCCCCCGACTTTTGATTTAGGTAATAGAGATAGAATTCTGACATCTTTTTTAAAACTTAAGCAAATCTACAGCTATGTATAGTAATGATACTGGATCCTGAATCGTTTGAGATTTTCGATTCATCTCACTATTTGGTTTATTGAATATTGTTAGTTACTAGGTTGCTAGCTAAGAACTAGCACCACGACCATACCCAAGACTTTACAAGCTAAATAGTCAGGAACTGAGAGGTATATGAACGTAGCCAGCGTTAAAAAAGATATTTAAGTACAGAATAAGTACTTGGTCACACATTTTTATACTGCTATCAGTATCAAAAGGGCATAAAGGTTGCCCAATCGTTAGACAGTAACACCAGAGTCCAAAAGAATAACGCATTTTTGGACTTTGTTTTTCAAGTCGGTTTTTTCTCAATGGCAACATCTTTTTTATTCTGAGTATTCAATACATTCATGACTCCATTATGTCGGTTGCAGAACAAAATTTAAATAGAGTAGCTGAAAAAGTATACATAAATCTTGTTCATCCTGGCTACGTTTCCAATCCGCCAAAATATAATTAAAATGTATGCCCCCCTATAGCCAGCATGATGTTCTCGAAGGCTATCCAGTTGATGAGAGCCCAGGGTCCCAGTCTCATCCACAGTGGCAGGAAACCCTTATACATAGACAATATGCCTTCATTCTTCACAGACTGCTGCAGACAATCTATCATGCCTCGGTACGACAAGCCCCTGGAAATCGGTAAAATATTTTATTGTAAGTAGGTAAGTATGCTCATATTTTTAATCGACAGAACTGACATTCACACAGTAAAGTATATTCTCGGGAAATGTAGAGAGAGAGAGAGAGAAAGATATGAGTTACATAATTAGGGCTTCACAAATTGTAAATAAAATTCCAGACCTCATCCTATTTATTCATCACTAGCTACTCTCGCGCTCGCGCGATTTCACCCGCTGCTCGGCTTCATTTAGTCCTAGCGTGACGTTTTATAGCCTATAGCACTCGGAACATTGTAGCTATCTATCAGTGAAAGAATTTTATAAATTCGACCAGCGGTTCCAAAGATTACCACCTACATACAAACATAAACACTTGCAAATTTTACCTCTTTAAAATATTGGTATAGATCTATACATATAACCTACTGAGAAATTCGAAAATTTTAACTCTTATTATGTCCATCCTTGTTATCGAACCCAGGTTACCAGGTGTCGTGTGCGATAGTTTCGCTCAACCCACAAAACAGACGTCACTGAGATGAATAACAGTCTACATTCTTAACTGTATATGGCGTGAATCTACTCAGTGACTAGTAAGTAATTATGTCTCTTGAACAATCCTAATAATTAACCTTAATTGCGCCACTAACGCCATCTTTTTCGTAGATGTAAAAACAGTAAGCAGAATTAACCTGACTGTCTACGGGAAAACTGTCCACAATTGAAAAATGTTTTAGTGCACCGTTATCCGAAAAAGTATTATAGAACATACAAAATAAAATGCAGCACAGACACTGACATATGCGTGTTCGAAAATAGAACAATCGAGTTTGATTGGCGCGCTCGGTTCAATACTCTAAAATCATTCGAGCGTGCACCGCGCGTCCTGCGACTCGCGAGTGCGACTTTGACCTCGTTCCTGTGACCTCGACCGAGTACCTACGCTCACAACCTATTCACATCAACATGATATAAATAGCTAGCCAAAACAACTATTCGGAATTTCAGTACCTATAGTAACAAATTATCGGTGTTTTTAGCAAATAACCAGCAATGTTTGTCAGCTGTTTTGGTGATACGAGTATTCGTGCACAGTATGCTAGAATATACATAGGTAATGTAATATTTTGTGAACATTGCGTAATATTTCCGCGGTTCTATCTCACGGTTTTTATTTAATATTTACCCCTACTGATAACAAGAATGAACAATCCTTTTTCGGAAAACGTGTATTTTTATACCGTAACCTTATTTTTATCTATGAGGCAATGACATTTAGCATTTATGATAATAAACGCCCACAAGCATAGCTTAATATGTGAGCGTTGGTAGTTAATGCTTTGCAAATAAAAATACTGAGACTTTTTGCCAACGACTTAAGGGGAAATAATGGTGCAAAAAGTGTAGTACGTAAGCACAAACAAATGTTACTTTGCAAAATAATTATGTCTACAACGAGTAAAGCGACTGTTACAGAGTTTTTTAGTTAAATATTAAAGTAGATAATGTATATTTTGGTGTTAATATAGCATTCATAATTCATTAAGAATGTTAATATGAATAATGCAATTCCAAATAATATATATTCATGAAACTGACTTCCAACGACGATATTATGACTCAATTGTGTAGACAACGTTGACGCATAACTGAACTTTAGACTCCGTAATAATGTGTTACTTAGGCAGTGAAGTGTTATAAGGTCATTCATCAAAAGAATTTTCGTAATCAACTAAGATTAGGTTTATTAGGTTTTTTTTATTTAATTTTCTAGTACCTATCTAGTAAAGTTATTGTCTCATTAGTAATGAATGATACAGATGCGTAAAATGTCCAAAACAATACATGAGAACTCAAAATACTAACCAGTTCAAATCTATACTAACATTATAATAAACTTCTGAAGGACATAAATCATGTTTTAACACAATGTAAAATAATTTAAAGAGTGGTATAGCAGAGTTGCTTCCCCGTTATGAAGTATTGATTGCTTTTTACGAAGCCCCTGCGTCCCTCACCCCATGTTTTGGCGAGGCAGTCGGGATCAAAGCCAAACTGTGAGTGACGGTCCCTAAATTGGTTTTAATGAAACCTAACGATTGTCTAGCCAGTCACTGACTAATTGTTTCTATTTATATAGATTAATACTTGACTATTGATACATAGATATAGTTAACTTTTGTATCTATCCTTGATTTTTGTCGAAAATTAAATGTACTTAATTCATTATTATTAACCTAAACAAAATTTTTCGTTCACAAAACTGTTTAACAATCATTAAAAAATACATGTTTATGTTTTAAAAACACTGCTTTTGTATGCGTTGAATACGTAAGTAGGTATTGGTGTGTGGTCGTAAGTGTAAATAAGTTCGAAGCTCTAAGGCAGCATTAATTTCCGTTTTATGTCCTGATTTAAACACTAAAAACTTTTAAAGAGTTAGGTACTATTCGATACTAATGAAATATATTTTTTAATTATTAATCTTCTCCACACCAGTAATTTCTCATATATCGTGGGTGGTTTTACAGGCACACATTAATTCCTACACAACAACGGGACTCAAATTTTTGGATCACATAAAGAGTGGTTCCCTACGAGAATTGAAACACGTGGCGCAGCAATCACAACCGTATATTCTATGAAGATTTATTTTTTCTGAGGGCCTATTATTTAAGAAATAAATAAATAAAATTAGTTACCTTCCATCCGGTCCAACGGGTTGGTTCATAAGTCTGGTTTTGAGTACGTCAGCTGGCGTGCCAAGTACGGCAGCCACGAAGCCAGCGGTGAATGCAGCAGCTGCGTGAACCAATGCATTGTCCGCCATACCGAACTCGCGCATTAAGAACTGCTTGGTGTAATCGTATGCTGCTAAGTCACCCATGTTCACTAGGGCAGCGCGTTGCACGTTTGGAACAGCTCCTATAAAGTCATTTATTTGGTAATGAGCCCAATTAGTAAATTATTTTTATTTGCCCTCCCATTGAATAGTTTTTCAGACATGGTCACGTATTTTCGTAAGTATAGGATGTTTGTTTGAGTTACAACATTATTGCCGTCAAATTGTCCAATCCTCAAATTTCTATTTTAATCCACAAAATAGCGGGTGTTGTGGGTTTCTCTTTCTATACCTACTTAGCCAGAGCCGATTAGGTACTTACCATCAGCCAGGACATAGGATAGACCAGCTCGTTAAAGAAACTGTTTTGCTATTTCAAATGCATCAAAATAATAAGTAGACTACATTCCTAAAGAAATCTCTTACACTTTTTTTCAACGGGCACCGTTCCAATTTCAGATTTTGTCTAGGGATTTGGAAAGAAAAACGCGAAATCGATGCGATAACTAGATTTGTACCTATTTATTTGTTAGTACCTAATACATATTTATAGTTAGTCTACAAGTTTTTAGGCTTTTTCAAATGTTGTAAACATCAAGATCGTTAGATTGTTTGGTCGAAAATGTTAAATTGATTATTGTGTATCTGGTAATTAATGTTAGTAGCTACGTTGGTATGTACAACCAAACTATTATGTTCGAAGCCATTATCTAACAACTAGTTTATGTTCTAATAACTTTTATGATAATGCCCATTACTACTTACTTACTTTGTTGACGATAACTACTGCTATGAAATCAAATCAAAGTCTCTATTTCATCTACAATATAGTGTACAGAGATGGTCACAATGTTGACAAATATTCCAACTACTTATTCTTATTCTAACTTCTAATATCTTAGATACCTACATTCCTATTTGATGAAAAAGAGAAATTGAAATTTTCGTTAAATATTAGTGGTAACAATTTTGTTAAGTATGTTATACCTAGTAGGTTTATCTACACCGTGATCAATATTGTATATCCGCCTTTGTACGTTTAAATTGCATTCGCTATAAGATTTTTCATTAATGCACCGTAATTCCATCTAATAAAGCATCTTTTTCTATATTTTCTAAGAGTCATTGTACGAGTAACTAAATGTGCAAATATGCAATATTGACCACCGGGTACACTTCAAAGTTCAACGTACCTCTCCAAAACCCTCTAAGCCCGGCTTCTTTATACAGCATCTTGTAACAATCCCTGCAGTTGGTGAACCTTTGTGGTTTGCCCTGCAAGACCCGGCGGCCTTCAGCCTGCATCTGTACTTTCACGAGGTCTGTGGGAGACGCGATCAGCTGCGCCAAGGCCCCTGCCGCTAGCCCACCTGCCGAACTTCGCGGTAATTATGTTTTGTTGTTGCAAGTCTGTTTTGTTAGCTTGGACGGTTAGTATTTAAATTCCTACACATATATTAGTATTGTAACGAACACGTAACGTAAAGTTTTGTTGTAGTCAAATGAATATATACCTAGTTGCCAAAATCTTAAACAATAGAAAATTGCCATCTTATACATCAACATTAACTAGGTAAACGTCCACTACACACTACAGTTTAATAAAATATTTAATTCACAATGCTATAGACCACTACACAATAAAATGTCTGAGATATCGAATATCGTAGCGGTACAGACAGTCTGATTATTACAAGTCTACTGCTGAGCCCCTTTATGTCGGTACAAGGGCGTTGTGCAAAGCCACGGATGGCAACGTTAATGAAAGCGGATCGGCTTAGTAGAAGGTAATACGCTGAGGACTAAGACTTTCCAATGAATATTCTATTTCTCGAATAAGAAGATTATAAGGACGGTTTTATTAATATTCAGCCTTTAAGCTTTGTTATTAAGAGTTCCGTTTTATTGATTAGTTTGGATAAAAGTCCTTTGACCTAAGGTAGGTACTTTTCTTTTGAAGGTTCAGCTTATAATAATTTCAGTTTGTTTATTATTCAAATCCAAACTATAATTAGGCAACTAGTAATAAGTGTCGTGAGACATATGTAGGTATTGAATTAATTGAAAATAACGAAATATCCGCGTGAATTAACCGATAAAAGCTCTACTAGTTTCGAGTCACAACGGAATTCATGAGCATGAACGTCGCGGCTTCGCGCACACACTGGTGTCTTCTGTTTTAACATATTATACCTACTGAAACCTAGTTTAAAGGCACAAAAATAAAACTATATAAATTAAAAGACTTCACTATCTATCTCCTTGGGTACCTTGACAGCTAGGTACTTTATATAGGAGGTATGAAGGTATAAATGTATAGGTACAATAGACAATTGGTTAATCCAATCCACGACAAAATAACATATTACATAGATAAGCTACTACGTCACACTAAAAAAAACATACAATTCGCTCACCCACGGAAGCTATTCCTAGCGACACTTTTCCGTTTTCATCCTTGAAGTAGTTTCTGAAATGCTCGTAGAAGATGAGCCGGCAGCCTGAGTAGATGGCGTGGCGTTGGAACATGGGCATCAGACCGGTCCAGAGTTTTGTAACACCTTCCTGCTTCGCTATACCCACCGCTGTCTTAATCATACCGTGATTTTCTAGCTGTTGAGAAAGAAATATATGGTTGGGTACCTAATTAATAAACTCAATGTAAACAATCTTGGGCATGTCTTTTTTATCTAAAGATGGTATCTATACAAGATATTATTAAACGGGTATTAACGCGAAAAGTAATTATTTAAATACCATTAGAAAGCTTGACGTTTCGGCCTACACAGGTCGTGGTCAAAGCAGACTGATACGGGATCTAATAATGAAACGCAAAAGTTTAAAAGTTCGTAAAAATGTATACAAACAATCAGTTTCAAAAATAGATGTTAGCTAATAAACTTAATTTTAATTATATTTGATATATTTTATAATTTTATACTTACGATATTTTTAATATAAAAAGACACACCAAGATTGTTTACCTTTAGTTAACCACCTAAATCGATAGACCGTAGATTTTTTTTTTTTGATTTGATTACCAAGCAAGTACAAGTGAGAATTATAAAAGTGAAAGAATTTAGAGAAGTTAACTACATATTCAGTTGACTGTGTATGAAAGTAAATTAAATATTTGTTTTGTTCAATTCATCAAATCCCAAGCGAACGCCGGCTTTCACGAACCTATTGTCTCAAATTACCACGGTTGAAAGGTTAATTGATGTTCCTATATGTAGATGCAGACTTATTAAAACTTTTATAATAAGTTCAAACTGCGTACGCATCAAACAAACTCGTTAAAACTAAAATCGATAGCGAGAACGCGGGAGCCTCATGTTCAGACTTTCAATCAGTTAAAAGCTGCGTCTATGTGTCTGTTTCTAAAGTACTTTCTTAAACGTTGGTGTGTATTTCAATTACTAGTAAAATAATCCTTAGATTTCAAGAAATCTAGGATAACGAACACTTCTACGTATAAAAATACTAAGAGTTGTATTGCAGATATTTTTTTCTTACATACCAATAATAAGTGTTGTTCTACAAATATTTTTTTCTTTATCACAGACATACACTTTACTTAGACCTAAAACAAAAATTATGTTGTGGATCACAGACAGTTGTTCCGTGAGGGACTCACATCAACTCGCGACACGTTAAGGCAGTCAAATTTAGGTGCGTAATAACATAAAATCTTGTTCTTTTAGCCAGAGTTGTACCAGTACCTACTTAGATGATAATTGCCAGCAGCTCCGTGAACGTAGATCTCTAAAGGGTCTGCAAAACGGTTTCATATCAAAGCGAAACAGTCGCTATGTGCTTTATGACAGTCCCTATGTGGTTATCATTAGGTATTACTGTTGATAAGTTTAAAAACTATCCGTCATAATCATCTTTCATAGTGTAATAAGCTAAGAACTTCAAAAACAAGAATAATCCTATCGTAGACAACCTCTTAGAACTTGATATTCTATCTGTCTCAAAGAGCCAATAGACCACCACAGTAGGAGCCCAACAGGGTCGATGGTCAGCCGGGGTTACGGGGCAATAAGGAGCTAGTACGAGGTAGGCCTCGGCCTACAAGGAACGAAACCGAAAGGTTTCAGTCAGAAAGAGTCGGACATTCCCGCGCTTTTTAAGGATTGGGCCTCCGGTAACCCTACTCACACAGTGAAACACAACACAACACATTTGATGATTTTGACTTACAAAAAAAGATATTTACTACGATCTTCTGTGCCTAATTATACATGCATCCATTGCCTATAGTCACCGCACTCTACAGCCAGGAACATGATGCTTCGAATGAGGATTAATAATTATGCCCCTTGTAGGGGCGCGACATGTGTAGTGGTTGGGGTTCGCACCACGCATTAAAATTATACATAAAATTAATCATGCGTTGGCGGGAAAAGCGAGAATGATGCACGTAACGTGTACCTACGTAGGTACTAGGTATCATTGCATAACGCCATTATTCTGTCTATGGCAACACGTAACCCAATTTGTGTTTCAATTAAAGAAAATCCTTTTTTATTGAAGGGGAAAATCGTCCAGTGGCTTGGTGGGGTAAGAGGGAGTGTCACTCTTTCTGACTAAAAACCACTCAATTCGTTCTACTTCAAGCTGGGCCGCGGTACCTACATCATTGTGCACCCCCAGAACCAGGACTACTTCTCTAGGCTACTTTTTTTTCTTTTTTGACAATTTGAACCAAAAAGTAAGCCTAATCGGCTTATAACAACGTTAAGAATATGCATGGCAAAGTAGATATTTTATATTACTAACTAGCTACTCCCACGTGGTTTTACCCACTGCTCAACTCATAAAGATCATAGCCTTCCACGATAAATTGACTCACAAACACAAAAAAATGTTCTATTTAACCCAGTAGTTCCGGAGCGCGTTCAAACAAACAAACAAACTTGATAATATTAGTATCGATTAAAATATATTTAAATCACAAAAAAATGTGACCATTTGCAATCATCGTAAAACAAATTTCAATATACGTATTTAAAAATCGATGTTCGCTGTCCGACCGGCCGCGGCCTTTGCTAATCTAATAGGCATGGATTTTCCGTCCGTTTTCTACTTAATCCACTTCACTTCAGGATTATGACGTCATTGTATTATATGAGAGCCTATTGACTTTGGCTTAAGTTCATTAGCAAAGTGCTTCATTTTATGGTTGACTAGCAAATCCACTAACAACTTTTACAAATTGCGAGATTTACTTCAATTTAATATTATAAAGTGTGGTAATACATTTTAAATGCACATTAATTTTTATTAAGTAAATGATCTAGCTATTTGAAATACGTCCTTGGTAGGTGAGGCAAAAACCAGAAACGCAATTAAACAAAATTTTACTCCGGTACTGGGGCCACTGACTGAAATCAAAACATTTGAAGACACTGCTATTTTTCTATTTTTTTAATATACCTACTCCATTCAGACTTTATTATCATCATCATCAGCCTAAAAGTGTCCAATGCTGCGGAAATACCCCTTCTCACACGGAGAAGATTTGAGTATTAATTACTTTCCACGCTTGCTCAAGGCGGATTGGCGATTTCAAACTTATAATTAGAAATTATAAGTCCATGGTTCCTCACGATGTTTTCCTTCACCGTATATCAGTGGTGTATTAATAATTATAGACATTACATATAATATGTAACTCGAAAAAATTTACATTTGTACTTGCCAGGTTTTCAGGTTCATGTATGAAAAGCAAGCCCCTTAACCTCTGGGCCACCACGACTATTATTGTTTATTTTAAAGCAATTACTTACAATATAGTGGTCTAATGTGATACATTCAATCGAAGATGTAATGCTTCATACCTTATATCCATGTTTGGCTGCAGCAACTTCTGACTGGATCTGTAATCTTGTTTTCGTCAAGTCGAATGGGTATGTTGCTGGAAAAAAAATACGATAATATGTAAGTCGATCTTAAATAACTTAATTGAAGTCCAAAACAATAATTAATAGAAGAAAGAAAAAACATTGATGATACAAAACCTATATTATGCTTCAATGTTTCATTAAGCAGGGAAAGGTATTAATAAACAAAGGTAATCTGTAACTTTAGGGTAAAATAAGTTATTGAAATAGACGAACGGCAATCAAATCAATAATAACAAAGCACTCGATTAATAAATTGACTTAAACTGTCAACATTTCCTGAATTATTTGCATTAAATTGTAATTCCGTGGAATATATTTTATTACAATAACATACTTAGTAGTGACTCAGTTCGTTATACGAGTATTTACTTCATAAGTACTTAAAACTCATGAAGGTAATAACCTTCATGTTTAAGTTTAACGTTAAAGTTTAGAATTAGAAGCTAAAATATAAACAGGCATTGAATAAAAAACTGTGGTCCAAAGAAGTCCAATATTACATTGCGAATCCTTTTTGACAGAGAATATTTATCAAAACGCCTCTTTTTTGAGGGAGGAAAATGAACTGATTTCTACCACCCTGGGAGAGGGAGTGTCAGACTCTTAGTACCTACTGACAGAAACCAACCCTTTCCTTCTTTAGCCGGGCCACGGTACATTATTACAATTGCATGCGCAATCCCAGCTAGACATCCCTAGTTTTTAGGGAGAAAGACTAAAGAGGGAAGGAGAGATCTCACTAAAACCTTTGTGGCCACGAATCGTGACCACAAATATATACAATATACAAGGCGCTGGGCCCTCTAGATAGCTCATAGAATTCCCACTATTTTAAGCCTGTTAAGGCGCTTTCCTAAGAGACCGTTGCGTGTCTACGATTCACCCGATTATAATTTTCATATACCGCTTAAGGAATACGAAATAGTTATGTTTATGCATTTAATTACAGCTAATAAGGTACAACATTTTAAATGATAACCGTCATTATAAAACACACTTTGAATTGAAGAGGCTTTTCTGATTAAAATCATTATCAGTAGAGCATTAGCACCACTTGAGTACGTACTCTTTAGAAAGTATATATTCTGTACTTGAACGTAAAAAGCTTTTGAATTTCAACGACACGAAACGAAGGGTTATTCGGGAGTATTGAGTGGAAAGGGCGTTGCTAGGATTCAAGTTTAACTGGGCATGGGAATCCTTGTGAAGTTCTTAGAAGGGATGAACATGAAATAAGGATCTATTTATACCGGTATCCGGTTTTAATCGTTTATCGTGCTGTGACCATCTTTCGGAATTACGAATCCGGTGTGTACCTAGTTGTGTTGTAGCGTACCTACCTAATTAAGTTTACGGACTATTTTAAATGCATCTTAGATATCGTATTTTTTCTGTTATTAATGTTGTGAATGACTTTGTCAACTAAATAATTGACATTCTATAGAAGAAGTGTTATTTGAAAATCAAAGAGGAGTTTTCAAATTTATTATGAAGGTGGTTGGTCACTTAGTACTTCTTGATAAATAATGTACATTAATGTGAAAAACAGTAAACTTATAAACCAACCAAAACGAAATCGAAATCTTAAAAACAATAGAAAATTATTTTCGTCTCTTTACCGTTTGACCATGCTCAAGTCAATTTATACTTATTTATGATAATATATGATATGTATAACTAAAAATATATAGTGTTTACCAGCTTCAGCAGCCCAAGAGCCGAGAACAGCGACTCCATACCGTGCTGCGACGGAATCCGTCAGCGAGTGGGCGGGGTGGTCGGCGTTGCGTAGCACTGGCATCGTTGCTGGATGATTGGTTCTCACCGCACGATGTCACCGGATCTGCTCATAATACCTGCGGGATAAGACAATGTTAATTTAATTCACTTTAAATAATCGCTAATAAAAAGAATATCCGCATAATATATATCTTTGACAAACTAAGCGAAAGAAAATTATTAAATTAATATAGTTGACATTTTAGTTTTTAATATTAGCTTGTATTTTTACAGAAAAGTTATGTACGTATACATAGGTAGCAGAGATTCCTCGTCAAAGAGTGTATTGGGTATCACGTAAGTTATAAAAAAAGAACAGTTATGGTTATTGCAAACTGTTTAAAACAATTTGCTATAAAAGTAATAGGTACATATTGTATTAAGAAATATTTATTTTTTAAACGTACTTACAAGTTCATTACAACATTTAAAAGCGAATTAAGATACACAATGATACCTAACAACAGCTAGTTAAGTAGCCATTCAAGTTTTTATAGTCTGTGGTAAGAAAAAATGGCGCGATCCAGATGTACGCCATATGCTATCTAGTTCCATATTGTGCGCCTAGAGCACTATAACATGTTGTGAATATGCGCGTCCTGTGGCTTGATTAATGAGCGTAATAGACGTTGTAATATAAATTGTAGCTACGTAATAAATATTCAGCGTATGGAGTAGGAACTTACTTACTAGAGATGGGTGTGGGGGTTTAGTGGCAAATAAAAAGGCTGTTTTGCTTTCATTGATGCCCAGGGTGAGGCGAAAGGAAGTTTCAGACTCTTACTGTCTAAAAACCCCGCGTTCCTTCTCCTGCTCTAGGCTGAGGCCGCGGTGCCTCATTGCGCTTACACTACAACCCCGCCTAACATCAGCCCTATATAGGGCCCGTCTGTGGTCTATTGGCTCTTTGTAGCGCGCGTAGAACGCTACTCGCCGTCCGCAGACCCGCACGGTTCTCTCATCGTTTTGAGAGAGGATAATCATCTAAAGACTTCTCCTGACCTGGACAGGATGGGAGGGAATAGCAGACTCTTATTAATAATCACCCCGTTCCTTTTCCTGCTCCGGGCTGGATCCGCTTAACATTATAGCAATTAAATACACCCGCAATCCCGGCCGAGCATCGACTCTGATTGGGACCTATCTGTCACGGTCCTAATGGTTAAGTAGGTAGGTGCACTTTTAATTGTTTTTCTGTTCTAAGTATATGTCTATTAAACTCTCGATTACTCACCAGCAAGAAAAACACAATACGAACAAAAATATTAACTATTTTTCTTTTAGACCTACGTTTTTTCATACCAGGGGTAAAGTTGATTCCAAATGCTTTTTTCGAAGACACTCACACACATACTTATATTTAATAAGTGTGTGTGTGCTTAGATACCATTTCGCTTTGTTTAAGTTCCAAACTGTCTAGACCTGTTAAAATTTGAAAAAGACTAAAGAAGTCATCCATCTTAGATGTACGCGTACCTAAACAGAAATGTCGGCGCTTATTCAATACTAGCAACTCGACCAGATTTCGTACGGGTGCCATGCTAATACTAAATATCTACTCTATTTTAATCACTATCTATTATTATATAAAAAACCGCATCATAATCCCTTGCGTAGTTTTGAAGATTTATTATTGTTATTAGTAATACGCAGTACCTACACATTTAGGTACCTACCGATGTGGTTATTTACAACGCCATAAAGTACAAAATAGAAGCTTATCGATTTATGAGTCTTATTACCACGCAATCGATCATCGCCTCACTCGACTCAAACTAATGGTTTGCTTTAATGAGAATGTCAGCGAGTTTGGAATAACTTCCATTTTTCATATGTAGGTAGGTACATACGTAGCAATGAACTCCATGCCTTAGCACACGGTGTATCACACATCGTGTGTAGTTAGAAGTTGAAAGTTTAAATGATTTGTAATTTAATATCCTGTGGATTTCACGCCCAGTGTAATGTCATTAATAAAGAAAATAATTTTTAAACTCTGTTAGAAGGGATAGCACTTTTATTTATTTAACTTAACGGTCAATCAGGCTTCTTACGGATGCCTACTCCAAAAGGCAGGCCGCCGCATTAAAAAAAAAAATTCTTCTGACCATAGACTAAAAATAGTCTTTTTTGAAAAATATTGCCCTGTTACTTATTACACAAAAGGTATAGGTACTTAACACTTATAAATTTACACTTCGTTAGATAAGCCTAAATAATATTTTTTTTCTTGTTGCATTTTAGGTTTCCGATATTCCACTTGTATAAACTAATTAATTAGGCGCCTAGCTTCCTCATCTATTTGATAACTATGTAAGCATGACATAATCGTGTTTTGTAAACCAATTACGGTGCACCAATTAATATAAATAAACATTAGTTATCTATGTAGTGGAGGCGCCTGCGATTATCATGACATGTTTGTTTGGATAGGCGATTGACAATCAAAACAAAAGAATAATTAAGATTGTGAAATACCTAAGCATAGTAAACTCCTTAGTCACCGCCTTTATACATAAATAAGTTTTAGAGCCCGACAAAATTATGTTGCAAATATGAGGTTCATAGGTACAAATAACGTCCTATACTGAAATTTATCTGGTAGATACCTACATAGAAGCTATCAAGACATTCTGGAACGAGCCCTAAATACATAATTTTATTAGTAGTTTTACCAATTAAATAAAAATACTAGGTAAGTACCTACACTGTTCTGATTTCTTTGATCTTTAAAAATCAATCTTCAATCAATCAATCAATCTTCATAAATGAACTTCAAAATGACAGCTGAAAATGTTCGTCACCGTTGATTCAAAGAATACAAATGATAAATACACCATACAATTAGGTAACCTATGTTTCTATTTAGATTTCTATAGAGAACATCTTCACATATTTTGTTGAAATAGGATCACCATCCCATTTTTGGCATGTACCTAGGTAACAACAGACAATTTTATTATGTTTAATTTTCAAAATATTTACATAATATAAATAATCCATCAATGTAAATTAAATTGAGATAACACTCCATTCTGTGCAGAAACCATAAAGCCAAGTCTCTTGATAACGACAGTATTAAGTATTCTTCGACACGCTAGCAATAAACCACTATTACAAATTAAACCATCGACGATCATCAAACTTTAATGTCACCTTTATCTCAATGACGATAAGAATCATTATTGATTCCAACTTTTATGTAGTAAAAATTGCAACGATTTTGATTTAACCAAAATACAGAACTACTCGACCAATTTGGATAGTTATTTTATGTCGAAATCGTAAGTATCAGGACGAGTATATGATTTTAAAAAAAATCGACATATTCACCCGTGCCATCGGGAAATAAAAAAAAATAGCACCCGATTTTGGAGCGAGGTTGCTAGAAAATAGATATTTATATAAAACCGAAATATGTTCACTTGTTTTTACTAGCGATTTCCCCCGTGATTCGGATGTAAGTAGCATAACTGCATAATATGTTATTGTAGACTGTAACGCCTCTCTGTGCCAATTGTTATCAAAATCTACCCAATAGTTTTTACGCGATATAGTAACAAATATCCATCCATAATGTAATATTAGCAGGATTATTTGCATTTTTCGTTCACAACAGCCTAATAAGAGTAACATGCCATTTTAAATAGACATTGTTGAATACTAACCTTCCCTATTATAAAATTATTTAAATTACCATGATATACAGGGACATATTCAACAGCTATACAATTGAGAATTTTAATACTTAACAACGGAACTCAATACTTTCCCTCTGCAACCTCGCTTAGACATCAGCCCGACAAAGAATTTTAGTATTTTTTCAACGTCAGATTAAATACAAAAGTAATTGTTTGACGTCATACAGTGACATCGAAATATGGCTTCTTACTATATACCCAAACCCATACATATTACGAATCGGATTATTCTAAGACGAATACACGCATAATTTCTAACAGGATGCATGGAATGCGATACACCTAGGAACATAAAATGTTTAATGTGTGATTCGTATGTAATCCCATGTAATCACTTTTTTTATGTAATAGATCGGCAAACGATCAGACGGATTACCTGATGGTAAGTAATCAGCGCCGCCCATGGACACCCGCAACGGAGGAGTTACGGGTGCGTTGCCGGCCTTTTAGGGATTAGAGATTTGGAGATTTAGGGATTGAGGAAGGATTGGAGGTGGGGAGGGATTGGGCCGCCGGTAACCTAAGTAATTCACACGGCGAAACTCAACGCTGTGGTTGTTTCGGTTTTCTGTGAGGCCGTGGTATTACTCCGGTCGAGCCGACCCATTGGTGCCGAAGCATGGCTCTCCCACACTTAAATATAATTTTACATAAATCCAATAAAATGAATCGCAAAATGTGTTGGTAAGTTTATCTACTAAGTAGCGCGCGCCAAAGCAACGCCTGGGCCAATTTTGTCAATATATTTTTGTTGAGTTTGTTATTGTCAGGTGGAGGTTCCTATGAAGGGACATTTTATGAAAGTAGAGGGTAAGATTGTGACCTTGAATTAAACACCCGTGCAAAACAGAGGCGATCCTAATTGAACAACCGATTGATTTCTTTAACTTTACAAACAGTTACCTAAATGTCAATCATTCATTCATTTAACTTTTTCTATAATATAAAGGCCTTTGTGATCATCATTTCTTTATGGATTGTCCACGCTTACCATATTTTCATATTTTGTCAATGTGTAGTTTCCATCACCATATTACGCATTTATTTGTAGATAACTCGCATATTTACACGCTTCGCTTCCATTTCCATTTACCTATGCTACCTATTCTAAACTACCAATTTGCCAATCCTCAACGAAATCGGTTCAGCCGTTTTTGAGTTATAAATAGTATAACTAACACGACTTTCTTTCATATACATATATATAGGTAGCTGTCTTTAATACAAGCTTTTTGATACCTTTACCTACATGTGTACCTGAAACACAATGTTTATATTATGCAATTAATTTTGATAGCCGGCGTGGAACACGCACGCCTCACAAACGCTTCCGCACCCAAAGGGCGACGACGGCCGAACCCTATTACTAAAGCCCT